ATCTTCTCTGTCAATCACTGTCCATGATTCTCCGAGCGACAGTGTTTCGAGGTGAGATAGTCTACCGCTGGTTGTATTCCCTGTTGACATGAGCCAACCGGACTGACTTGAACAGCCAAGATACAGGTTAGGCTGGTTACAGTTAATCAGACCCTGCACCTGTTGGATCATGATGCATGAATCCCCAACGGCGACCACGCCCGATATATCTCGCTCGACCATCATTGCCGGTCCTTTTAGGAGACTATGATACGCATCATCGCTGAGCTTCACCTCTTTCGCTTGGGTCTAGGCCCAGGAACTCTAGCACATCAGAATCCACCATGTTCTGATCTTCTGGAGGTAGTCTCACAAACTCCCATAGACAATTGTTTATCATCGCCTGGTATATCAGCGGGGTGTTCTTGAGCCCAAATTGCATTCGGACCGATTGGAAATGTCCGAATAGACACACGAACGCTGATATGCGCTTAGCTCGCCCAGTGATGCGGATGACCCAAAAACCACTCGCCATGTCGAGTGACATGTACCACATATCTCATTCAAGTGCGACCTGGAGGTCATCAATCACAGGTAACAGATAGTGTGACAACGCAATAAAGCTGTTCATCATATGGTAATCGATACACATCCGAATGTCGACTCCTTATTCTTCGGAAGGATCACAATTGGGGAGGCTCGGGCGGAGTCGGATATCTCAATAAGTCTTCTTCAGCGGCTCATACACCTTCATCGCGACCTTAGGAATAATCGATCTTGGTCGGATTGCTATAGGCTTAGCGCCGCTGCCATCTATGTCACATACTGCTCCTCGAACTGGAGCAGGGGCCGCATTTTCATTGCCTAGAAAAATCTTGCAGTGGCGTTCGATGGTTCCTCTCAGCAGTTCTTCTTCAGTCGGAGTTGTCTGTCCGGAACTCCCACGTCTGCCTTGGAGATATCACACTCGGGCGTGAGATCACTTATATCAAGCAAAATCATGAGGCCATCACGCAGTTGATACATCAACTCACTTCCCTCATGGATGTAGACGCCGGGTTCCAGATCCGGTCCCCTTGAGTAGCTTTCATCACTCGAACATACGCGGCTTCCAACTTCTGGAGCAGCAGCTTGGAGGGCCACTGAAATTCTGATGCCTGCACAGAAGGTGGTTGCAGAGACTCTTGCAGCTCAGCTAACCTACGTTCATACCTCTGCCTTTCGTCCGAATTCTCATAGATCAGCTGTTACTGTCCATTGTAGCGTTCCCTCCCTGGCCGAATCGCCACGCCTGAGAAAAATAATCATAATCCACCATCTTGGCCACGACGGTTCCCGTCCTCAACCACAATCTAGACTGCGAGATGTTGACCACTTTAACTGCGACTACTCATGACTTAATAGTATAGCAGACCTGCGTTATCCAACAAAATCCCCGGTCGGCCCAGACAACTTCCCGTTGGGGATTCGTCTAACCATATATCACCCGGACTATCACACGTTCGCTCGGTTGGAGATAGAAAGTTTAGTCCGGGTACACTGGCACGTCCAGACTCACTCGCTCCCGATTCGGTCCGCTACACATCACGACTACTTCTTCGTCAAGTAGCATCACCAGACCTTTTCGCATGCACAACCTTACGCCGGCTGCATATATGAAGTCCATTCCCAACAGGACTTTCAATCCTTCACCGATGTTTGCCAGCCAGACAATTACAACATATATATATATATAACGTTCATCCCAACCCTGATCTTCACTTTGACCATGGCTATGATGTACGATTGGGCTCCACCCAACCCGGACACCTTGACGGGGTCCGCTAGCATCTGGACTTTCAACTTGAGCCTACGTGCCAGATCCAAGCTAATCATGCTTCTAGACGACCATGAGTCGAGCGAAATCTTCGTTTGTTCATCGTTCACTGCCCCATACACCCCATGACTCATCCGTCTCATGATTCTCCCACCGACCGTATCGTTACCCAGGTTGTAATGAAAACTCAACCAGACTTTCACTCTCGGTCAAGCCCCGCTAGGCTTGGACAGACTTAATAGGAACAGCTTGATTCATTGTCATGCATTGTTGGTAATCT